CAGTACATAGTTGGGACTTTCATTGTATTTGGTTCTGCTTGTAAAGAAGTAGCTAATAGTTTATGTTTGTTACAGATATCGTTTTCTGAAAATGAAGTCAGTTGGTGTATTGATGTATGGCCAAAATATATATTTCCGATTCCCAAATAGATTACCATCTCGATTGGTCACTTCAACTTAATCATATGTTTATCGTTGATATGAACTTTTTAAAATTATTTCAAATTACGATTTCAAAATGTCGACACCAACAAATGGATAGATGGGCTCTTAATGTACAGCGGCAACTATTACATAAGTATGCAGGTTTAAAAAAATGTTAATGGTTTACGTTTATATGGTATATAGATTTAAGAAGATGTGGTTTGAGTGCCAATGAGACAACTCTCCATCAAAGTCACAATTTGTAAAAGTAAACCATTATAGGTCAAAGTACGGTCTTCAACACGGAGCCTTGGATCACACCAAACAGCAAGCTATTAAGGGCCCCGAAAATGACTAGTATAAAACCATTCAAACGGGAAACTAACGGTCTTATCCACCGATCGTAGTAACTTTAACTTTACTTGTTCCAGACAAAACATTACCTATGCTACATCATATAAATATTTAGGCATATGGTTAGATGAACATTTAACGTTCGACAAAGCCGTACGCGAACTATCAAAATCAGCGAGCAGAGCACTCGGTGCGTTGTATGGCAAATTTATAAGCACAGGTGGAATGACACACTCTGTATACTCCAAGTTGTATTCTACTATGGTTGAACCAGTGTTATTTTATAGTTCGGGAATATGGGGCACAAAAGTGCATTCAGTAATAAACTCTATTCAGAACAAAGCAGCTAAATTTTTCATGTCTGTCGGAAGATACACTGCAAATACTGCGATTCGAGGAGATATGGATTGGACCTCGTGTTTTACGAAACAAAGAACTGCATGTATACGATTATTAAGTCGGATATTGCGATCTGGTGATACGCGTTTAACTCGAAAGATTACCGAGTGGACTAAAAATCGACATAAAGGATGGTACGTTAAAGTGAAAAGTTTTGTGGAAACCGTTGATGCCACTGCTATTCTTAATGATACATTAATTTCTACAAAATCTGTTATGCGAACAATAAAGGAACGCTTTAATGTTGTTGATAACGATGAATTCAAACAAGAATGTGACGATTCGAACAATGTAAACGGAAATAAATTAAGGACATTTAAAACTCCCAAAAACTGTGCGTCGAACTGTTTCCCTGTTCCGTAGCGGGTCTCTGCCTTTGGCGATCGAGACAGGACGATATGCTCGACCGCGAACACCAGTAGATGAAAGACTATGCCGACTATGTAATAGGAACGATGTTGAAAGTGAAAAACATTTTTTGTTGTTTTGCCCATTATATGACGATATTAGGTTTGAATTGTTTGCAAAAGCTAGAACTTAAATTGATGGTTTTGATACTCTTGATATGGACAGTAAATTTATCGAAATAATGTCTTGTGAAGATATACAAACTTCTTTGTCATATGCAATTTTTAAATCTTTTCAGAGGCGAAAACTATTTAGCACATGAGAATTTATCAAGCAATAACATTTAATGTTTTTCTATTTTTAATCATAAATAGATAATTTAGTCATTTTGGAAAACCTTTTACTTTTTTTAAAGTTTAACTGTGATAATTAAATATTTCTATTTTTAGTTCTTATTTTTAAAGCTCAGTGTTATGTTGAGTAAAAAGATTTAAATCTTTTCTAGATTTTTAGAATTTGAATTTTACACATATACACTAAAATGACTTGTTTAGTTAAATCTTTTAACATTTAGATACATAAGTGTCTCATAAGTCTACATAAGGCTGGATATTTGGTCATTGTATTTTGTGTTGTTTATGTAATTGTGTGTATGTATATATATATATATCTGATCAAATATGTGACACTATAATAAAATAAATCATTATTATATAAAAGACGAGAAACGAGAAACACTTATGAACCACATCAACAAACGTAATATAATATGAATGTATTTAGCTTTTACAAGATCAGCACGATGAGTTGGATGTTACATACATAACAACAGTATCCTGGATCCAAGCAAGCTACTTATATTTGATCTTACTCTTAAATTCAGCGTGTATAGCGGATAGCAGTGTAAAATAGATATGAATAACCTCCCACATTCGTTGCTAGCACAACGTCCATTGCGACACCATAAATTCAGTATTCCTACCGTATCAATACTTTGAACTGAAATCAATGATATAAGGCAATATACGATCGTCATGCAATCGATAAAAAATGAAAACAAAACGTTAAAAATTGCATGCGTCCGAAGCGCTTTTATGGATCTACCTTCATCAGGAACTCTCAAAAGCCGAAAATTTGAAGGCCAACAATTTATAACAACCGAAATAGTTGCTAAAATGTTAACTGAGATGATCGTTCAAAATGTACATTCAATGATTTCATCTGCCGACATGATTGCAGATAGTAAAAAGTCGTAGAGCAAAATGAAAAAAAATTAAATCAAGTTGCTCAGTTTTCACTATTACTCCTTAATGATGGGCGCTGGGGAAACCAAATAGTTATGAATAATTTATCTGAAACGCTAAGCTTATATGAGATATTTTTTTAAAAAGTAAATCAACTTGTTTGATGCCTGTTTAAATGGGTTTAAATAACTTTTTTTTTCAATAGATGCAAAACCTAAAAAAAATCAGGATACTGTTATCTCATGTGATGTCCAATTTGTTTTAAAAAAACTACTTTTTCTTTAAATCATTTATTTTGCAATTAAAAATGATTTGATATATTTCGTGCTTTTTTTTCCTAACTAAGAATTATTATAATCAGAAATATTTATTTTGTTATCCAATTCTTCACCTCGTACAACTTTCTGCCTCTAGTTTTATTTTTCAAATTTACTTTTAAGTAACAGTAATTGTTCATTTCATTTTGTTTCTTTTTTGTTTCGTTTTTTGTTTTTGTTTCGTTTCGTTCCGCTTTTATTCCGTTTCGCACTTTACAGGTTCCCCTCTTTCGCCCGTTTTCTATTTTTGAAATCCTTATCAAAAATTAAAAAAATCAAACTTTCAAAAAGTGAAATAATCAAAACTGTACTTTTAAAATTTTATCAAATATCTAAACTATCAAATTTAAAAACGATATTTATACTTTTAATTATTTGGTGAAAATTTCAAAATTTCAAAAATTTTCAAAAATTTGGAATTTTGATAATTTAAAACTTTGATCAACATTCCAAAAATCTAAAATTTGAAATCTTTTTAAAATTTTGAATTGATAAGTGTTACATGGACCGGGGAAGTCAACAAAAACTGACAAAATTAAACGCTTTCAATCAACGGAACAAGTGAAAACAACTTCGAGCATTCAATTTCTTTAATACGGCATAACATTGTTTATTATTTTATGTTTTAATCTATCACGCCAATCATGTAGAATCAAGTGCGTTTCCTATATTGATTTTGTACAAAATAAAGAGATGTGGTATGATTGCAAATGAGACAACCATCAAGTACAGACCAAGGTACGATGCTATAAACAACTTTTAGGGAACTGTTTGTTATTTTATGTATTAAAGTCCGCTGATCGAGACTTAAACTTAATAGAAAAAAGGGAGATGGTTATAACATCAAAAACTAGATTAACCCTGCAATATAGTCATGTGCTTCTTCCAAGTCAGGAACGTAAAGCAACCAACAATCAATGCTTCCAAGTCAGGAACTTCGCCAGTGGATGTCATAACTGGGTTTCTTAGCAGATCTTTGATGGGTTCTCTTTAATCTAATCGCAACTTTTATAGTCTTTTTTTAGAGCTTGACATATTCTATATGCGCATGTCTATTGTTGAAAACTGTATGTTGGCCTCAAGATGTCTTTATGTTATTTTTGTCGTTGGGTTGCTGTCTCGTTGACATATATACCCCACATCTACATTATAATTTTATTCATCAAACAGCTAAACAAATTTACGAAATGTATGCGTCAATATTATTTTGACCAACAAATGTAGCAGTTATATAAATGCTATGAATGGGACAAATGGTGTATACATGAAATCTTTCTATACGTTATCGGTTATATGGTTTTTTTATTTGTCGAGGACTATATTCGGATAGGAGAAGACATGGAAATAGATTGTTATGTTTGGTTGACAACCGTTTATATATACAGACAGTATTTGTCTTCTTGCACAACCTTAGAATCATTTAAGATCAGTGTGTGTTCTTCCATTAAGTGATAATTGTATCGTTCTCAACTTCAATATTCTTCTGTGAATTATTTTTACAGTAAGTGTCACGATTGATTCTGGTGATCCAAATAATGAATAATAGTTCATGTATATTTTAGTATGCAAGTAGTAATGTTACGTAAGTCTACTAAGAGTTTCTGTGTAATTGTATTGGTATTGATGTTATTGTCTTCTACAGTAAAATTGGGGAAAGTGTCTGGTAATGACTATTGCACAGATATGATCTGAATAATAAAAGTCCGATATAGGCCTTTTTTAACACCTAAATTTTTCTTCAAGCTGCAGAATCTATAGAATATCCTTTTTACCATTATTCATTAGCATTTATGTAATATATAAAAATAACAGTGTTGCTGAAGTGACAATTTCATATGACGCGTATAAATTTACAGTGATTGCTAATGAGACAACTATCTACCAAAGACAGGTCACTGTACGGCCTTCAACAATGAGCAAAAGTCAATAAAAACAAATATTTACCTTATCAAAAGACTGTATAATATCAAACAATTTCACAGCTTTGGCTTTTGTATATAATTCAATAAATAAATACTAAATGTCCATCCAAAATTGTAACCAGTAATTGGAGATATGCGGTCTATCAAGGGACGGAATAATGCAGATGTCATTTAAAAAAACGAGTACCCCACAAATGAAGGTACATGTAACGTCCGTATTTTGTACAGGTTAACCAGTTATCATATTTATAATACGTTTTGCTTTTACTTACTGGAAATATCTGTTTACATCTCCATATTCTGTCGGTCTGTAAAAGAAAATATAGTTGTACGAATTGGTGTAGTCCTATATACCCCAGTATGTGGAATTTTCAAGAGGAGAAAATCTAATTACGATAGCAATCCCTCGGGTAAGAACTCACTTACTCTTACCATTCTACCCGTTCAATAAGCATAGCAAGTATCGAACATTTAGCGTATAATATCTTTTGGTATTCCAGTAGTATATCCCTGAATTAACACCATGTATTGTCAGAGAGTCGGCCAGAATCAATTTGCGCCAATTACAGTTTTGAAAAGTATCAATTGCGCCACTCTCTATTTTTCGGATGGTATTAATTGAACTGAAGCATTCCATTCTCATTACAATGAACAATTTTATGATTCACATCCGTCGTTGTTCTCACAAAGATTCAGGCCACGACATACATTTAAATCCGAATAGCTGGCTCAGAAGTTGCGAGAAGTCAACACGACTTGGAAAAATAAAACTTTGCTCTAGAAAAGTACCAAACACTAGTGAGAGGAGAAGTGAGCAGAAAGGAATATGTTTCTATTTTAAGTTACAAATACCAGCCTTTTGTTTAATGTTGAACATAGACATATTATAGTTTCAACTTCGTAAATATGAGTGAACGTTTTAATTCAGCATATTTTTTGTATTAGAATAACTTTAACTTAGGCAGTCGTTAAACTGTCGGTCAATAAGCCCAGATAAAGAAGGGGAAGGTATATCATTCAGTAGATATATATAGGTAAGAATAAATAAATTGTATAATTTTCTTATTAGCGCAAATAATACCTATAGTTTTATAAATGAAGTGGCGCAGAAGTAGCATTAGCCCAATTAAGTTGTTGCGCAAATGGTTTAATTTTTGGTGCAAATAGATATCGACCAAATATTATTTGGTATTCCTCAAGTGACAATATCCCTCGAAATGGCTATATTAAATTAAAATGGCGGCATTTACAGTGAAATGATCTCCGGTATTACACTTGTGGCAATATCCATTGAAATTGCGACGTTTAGCGTGAAATATTCTTTGGTATTCCGCTAGTGGCAAATATCGCTTTGAAAAGGTGACATGCATTGTGCGTGTAATAATCTACAAAATGTTTTGCCATACAATAAGATGGTACTTGTATTGAGAAATATTACATTATTTCAATATGAATAAATATTGATCTTATTTCTATTTCTAAGAAAGAAACCCGAAAAAACGAATAACCATACGACCTCTAAATGGCAAAATATAGTATTGAACAATATACATGACTTGTGTACATATACAATATGGCAAGCTTTTAAACCTCCCCCGAGTTCAAACAAAGTCGTGAATGAATCAAATAGAAACTACCAAAGGATTTTCAATCAACAGCATCTTCTCTAAAAGAGAACAAAATTATTAAGATATAATGACAGAGGAGAACCACAGACGATGTGCCTGACTTGATGCTCATACACTTGTGACGGCATTAAATTAGTTTAAACTTTTTAGATCTCCACCCTAAAATAAAAGACAGCAAAAACTTAACCATCAAACTAGAATTGATAATAATCATCAAACTTTAGGTTGGAGAAAGTTCCAGTAACGGAAAACAATTCCGTGACCGCACTACAATAACATTCCTCTTTCTATATTATATTGCTTTTATTTATGTCGTTGGGTTGCTGTCTAGTTGCCTCCACAGATCCTGTGACGATTGATAAAATTACATGTTTTTTTGTTTTTTTTTTTTGTTTTTTTTTATTTACTCGATTAACCTTAATATCTACCTACTACACCAGTATTAAATAAGAAAATTTTGAAATGAAACAGCGCTATACCTACACTAATGAATTGATGTACCGTAAAGAGATTGTAATATGCGCAGACGTCAGATTCGTGTAGGCTGAACATGGTATCTATAAGTTACCAAGACGTATATAAATGCATGAAGGGTTTTTATATAACTGTTTTTGATGTAATAACAATAAAAATTACACCTAGTACAGAAAAGTAAAAATTTGGATCTATTTTAGAACCGGAACAATTTAACTTATTTATAAAACCATGAACAGTTAACACGATACGACGCCATATATAGACACTAAAACGGCTAGATATATAAAATCTTTGGTCTGAAATAACTTTGTCTTTTTATGATAACATTAAGATAGACGAATTAGTTATTTTTGTCATATGGAAATGAGTGAGCCAATTAGTATGGAACCATTAGCGGTGTAAGTTTGTAATTTATTGGCTTATTTATACTTGGACGAATTTTTTATTATAATACTAATGCGCTTAACTTTATCGCACCGAAGCAATACTATTGAAAGGTAAATAGTGTTCCTATTGTACATAGGATCTATGACCAGAGGGATATGTATCACATTTTACATTGTAGGCTTTCTTTCATTTCAGTGGTGTCTTGACTTTTAGAATAAGATTGTAAATGTAGATTCGGAAGGAGTGTGGTTAATTTAGGTAAAGTAAGCGCAACATGATCTGCTTAACTTTCCAGAACACCTGATATCACCCCTTGGTTTTGTGGTGGGGTTCATATTGTTCCCTCTTACGTCTTCTGTTGCCTTTTTTGTTTTGCGGCATGGAAATGTTGGTTTTTCTCTGACTTCTGATTTTTTTCCTTTTGGTATCTTACTCCTCTGTTGAATGGTCGGCTAATTTTTAAAACTCGGAGATTTTCAGCTGAAAACAATAAGGTGTGATCGCCCTTTCTCTGACGACCTTTATATGTAATTTTTAAATGCCGCATGTTGTTGTTTGCTAGATTTCTTGTCAAAATAAACCGTAAATACATAGTATAAAGGATACAATAGGGAGACCTGCAGTTCAAAGACAGGTAGTATTTCTTATTTCGGGATTTGACTGTAGAATCAAAGTGCGTCTACTCTATGGTGTATGTACCATATCTGTAACATTAGGTACAGTAACTGTAAAAATTCCAAAATTCTCCTTCCATTCAAAGAGGGTTAATGTCTCATGTATATTAATACCCCTTACCTAACAACACTAGTGTTGCCACTTCTAAAGCCATCAAAGGAAACAAAGGAAAAATAAAGGCTGTAACTCAGTTCCAATCCTGTTGTTAAACACCGTAGAAAAGTCATTACAAGAAGGGCCACTGCGCCTCCTGTAAAATAAAATCCAGTGAAAACATCTAAAATATTTAGCATGTAATCTTTTTAAGGCACTCATTTGTTTCGTTACTTTTTGATCCAGTATACTATTCATATATATATTGGATGAATTTACAAATTGTCAGTTACATGACAACATATAATATCAACGTATGAACAGTATGGAATAAATTAATATCATATATATGTATTTAATTAAGCCAAATAAATAGATTTCAAGGACAATTCCTAAATTTGTTAGCTTTATGAAAATTTTACCGTAAAAATGTGTGTAAACAAGAGGCAGCAGTAGTTAAGCGATGTTCAAAACTCGTAAAACTATTCGGAATATACCAAGTAAGACGAAACTGTGAGGGATTATTATGAACAAATAGAGCAAGACCGGATTCGTCGCTAATGTAAGAGTTCCTTCTTTGCAGCAATCACCAGCCATGCACATAAGGATTCGGTCATAAATACGAAGATTGGGAATAGGTCATAAAACATTTCAGACGACTTGTCTGGTGGGTTCAGAGTTAAAAAAACATCAATATCCGGTGAATTGAGACGGAGACATATCGTATAGGACAAGCCAATTCGTGGTTACCTTGAGGGTACCGAAATGTCAAGTTATATTTCAATTGTAAAATAATTTTTTATTAATGCAATTTCACTTTTATGGACATCTGAGATGTCACTGCAAACACATGTAAATCGAACCTACAGTGCAAGGCATACTCTATTAGAAAAATCAACATAACATCGTAACAAAAAAAGGAAAATTAACAGCACAAATGTAAACTAGGTCCTGTTTGTCATAATTTTGGTATGAAACATTTAAACGAAAAATGAAAAACCACAAGAAAACTCCCAGTCTGTTCATTTATTTATTATTCAAACTTTTCCGAAATAGAATACGGTCTTTTCACTCGTATAACTTTTAAAACTGGAATTGAATGACAGAATTTTCCAACTATTTCGAATTTGTCTATTATGATAAACAACTTTTTAACGGATTTGACTTTTGAAAACTGGGATCAAATTACTGAAGATTCCATCTATTCCTTGACTGTAGACAACATCTTATCTAATTTACCTTTTAAAACTGGGATCAAATTGCCGAAGATACCAACTATCCGTGTCTGTAGACAACTTCTTATCTAATTTACCTTTTAAAACTGGGATCAAATTGCTGAAGATACCAACTATTCCGTGTCTGTAGATAGCTCCTAATTTTATTTGAAGGTAACATATTGGAATGCAGATCAGGATCAGTAAGACATAATACGCCACTAAGAAAAGAGCTGAAAACATAAAACATATTGTTATTACGTGTCACAACACCTGTCAATATAATGTAAGATTGATAGATTTTTGTTTGCTTAATGTCCAGTGAAAAAAATTAACCATAATCAGGACGTGAAGAAAAATTAATCTTATAGGTATGCTTTGCAGAATGAAGGATGGGAAATTAAGAATGCAGTTTTCTCGCATTCCATAGAACACAGTAAATGTTATACGTCCCATCAAGTAGCAAATCAATGTAACAATGTCTTCTTGCATGAAGTAACTTCAAGTATATTTAATATTATATATATATTTAATAATAACTTAGTTAACCAAAAAAGATAAAGGTGTATATTGTTATTTATGAAAAGATGTCTGTATCCAAGTAGTTATAATACAAATCAAGGAAGTTTTGTTTAAATCAAATAAATATACAATACCGTACTTTGACCTATAATGGTTTACTTTTATAAATTGTGACTTGGATGGAGAGTTGTCTCATTGGCACTCATACCACATCTTCTTATATCTATATAATAGATGTGATTTGATAACCAATTTATTAACTACCCACCAAAATACAAGATGTTAACAAATTTATTCATATGATAACGTTCCTGTTCCTTACAGACATTTCACTAATGATATAACTCTTCTCTTGTAAAACATTCATACTTCCATTGCATGAGTAATTGTGAACATTTCTTAAACTAAAAATCTGTCCGGAGTACAATTGTAACAGTTAAGCAACAAACAATCAATAAGTTTGATATATTACAGATCTTTTAATTAGAAGTTCAGAAATTACAGACCACGCAAATTATCTTCTTAGAACAATTACCATCAACGGTGTTCCGCATGGTAGACCAATCGCTTACATCTATGGCATGCTCTCTATTTTAACACTTATAATTTGTGTATTGGTAAGTCTTATACAAATCATTCAGGAATTATGAAGATAATCTATGTTTTTCCTTTTTAGTTACTTCGTAGAAAACATTAACTTTTAGTAGTATTAATATTGTTCTAATTTATAAAAGAAGTTTTCTTAACAACATTATTTTTGTGTTCAATGCATTAACTTTTTCGTATGATGTTTCTCAACCTGATTACATTCAAAGAATATTTTAGAGTGATCTTTTTTCTGATATGTTCTGCCATGAGCAAGTAATGAACTATATCACAAAATATTCGAAACTGTATAATACAGTCTAAAACATGCTGCAAGAGACCAAATACATTGTAACCGAATTAGACGAAACGCGCATCTGCTGTACAAATGTTCAATCCTGATATCTATGAGGAGTTTATTTATAAAAGATAGACGGTTAGAATTTATTTAGGTTTTAAGACATAACCGTTCTAAAAATAACATTTATTTATATTATATCATTGTTTTGAAAAATGTCTACTTATTTAGTTTCATCATGCAGAACTATGTTATTTACATTTTTAGGTTGATTTATTCAAGAATTGAATGCTTCTTAATGTAGCTTTATTTGGGAATTAAAGCGTTGACCAAAGCACATGTTGTATGCTTCCGTGCTTCATACTAAAGATGAACGCACAACCAACGCTTTCAAAATCCTATAAAATTACAGTATTTTCCAAAATGATTTCAAATCAGTAATATATTTACTTAATCCAAATAATTTAGCTAAACTAATATATAATAAGTTGAGACAAGCTTTTGAAGTACATAATAACGCTGAGTGTCAGTTGCTCTACCATAAGTACTTTACAAAATAAATAGACTTGTAGTTACATATATAAAGCATATCATTGATTGTCGTTAATTTTCTCTTGTTATGCATTATTTTAAATTTACTTTATTTGTCAAATTGTACATGTCATGTATGATGTACACACGGATAACGCAATGTCATATTTATCATATGTGCTTTATCCAATAAAATATTTGAATTTGAATTTGAAGAAAAATACAAAAAGAAGCATTCAATTCTTATAAATACATTTGTGCTATGATGCAACCATGAAAGTACAATTTATATCATTTGTTTTAGTTTTGTTTTCCTATGCATTGTTGTGACGTTGTCATGGGAAGCACATGCTTTCACAACTGTTGCATTTTATTGGGAAATAAAATCTAATTCTGGAATGCCTCTCGATTGTTGTCAGCCAAAAGTACGGATTCTTATGAAACATACATGGACATGTAATGTAATTATTTGGTTATAGATTTCCAAACCAATCATATTGTCAAAAATTATTAAACGTGATGTTGTTTTTATTTTGAAATATAATATGATAAATAAGTAATGAATAGCGTCAGGTTTGAACTGTTGATATATCTGACGTGAGCCCAATGGTAAAATGTAACAAATCAGATTCACATGATCGTTTGTTCATTGTTCCAGTGTTTAAAGATGTAGTTATTTTGTACTTTTACAATACCTTAAGTTATTTTCAACGTAAAAATAAGGAGATGTGGTATGATTGCCAATGAGACAACTATCAACCAGAGTTCAAATGAAGTGGAGGTAAGTAGCTATCGGCCATCGGACGGCATTCAACAATTAGAAAACCCCAAACCGTAAAGACGGTTATAAAAGGTCCGGACATGAACAATTTTCAAGCCTTTTTGAAGTTATGAACCTTAATCCGTTAAAGGAAATTACAGAACAATTATCGTTCAGAACTATTAAGTCCAAATGAAATGCTGGCAATCATTTTAGTGTTTGACGATGAACATTGCGTGAAGTGTTTCATTACAGACGGAAAATACAATACAGAAAATGTTGAGATTCCGTGCCATAAGAATGTTAAGTAATTTGTTATGCAAATATCTTCGCGTATTGGATTTTTTAAGTCTATAGCCTTAAACAAATTATGCTTTCGTGGTTTTAATCAACCACCACAGTAAAAATATATTGAAACGCTTGTAGATGGAAAAATTGTTTTGAAGAAAAAGTACTTTTCTTGCGCACACCCAGACTTTAATTTTTCATTTAGTATATAGCTCTGTTAATGTCTCTAAGTTTCCTTTTCTAAATGATACTTTTTTATATAGAAAAAATAAGATACCAAGGACTAATCAAAAATCATAAGTCGTAAAAAGACAGAACATCATGGCCAAAAGAAAAAAGACAAATTACAGCACAATAAATACTTCACAGAAAAATAAAGGTTGAACTCCACAAAAAGCTTTCCAAACATTCTGCATATATTTTTACATAAATTGTTTGCTCTATCAAACTATAATTCTATTGAAAAAAAAACGTTAAGATGTGTTTGCATTTCCGTAAAGAGTCATTCAATTTTGAGATGATTGAAGAAAACAGGAAAATAAGGAATAATTGACAAATGGTATTGTCATATTCATTGTCATTATTGAATAATCTAAGTCGTCATCAACTATTATGCAATCATTTGTTTCCGTCTCTTGTAAAATTATAACCAATCATTTCGTGAACATTTTTTTCTAGAAAGTTTCTCCAAGCTAAGATAAATATTATCTACCATTTGAGGCGGCTGAAAGACGACACTGCAAATGTTTAATAATTTTATACAATTATCACAATCCCTATGACGTTTCAAAAGTCGTTTAAAAAACGTAATCAGCAGTAAAATGTTCAAAATTTAAAGTTTAAATCTTCATTGATATATACTGACTGACTTTAAAAACGCAACACTCATTTTGTTGATTTTTTTTACCAAATCATGGTTGATCCTCATAAAACTACTATTCATGCTTACCATACTTCTTCCTCTTTCGAAAAATCAACATCTGACTTTCCTGTGGTTATTTAGCTTACCGGATTATTTGACGGCAGAAACTCGTCTTACTGTCTTTCCGACAACGATACAGGCAGACGGGATTTGTTGATGACCACCAGTGACTAAATCAACATGTAGTGACAATGCAACGTCAATAGAATTTGATTACGCAACGTCATTTGCGAGACATGTTTACGGCCGAAACGTCATCTGCTAATCAAATAGCCGAATGCCATTGCACACAGATTCATGCCATAAATGTTTACCATGAACTGAAATGCCAAAGAATCGACTGCAGAAAATCATTCAAAGCCCTAAAGGTTCACCCGCATAATTGCCAAAACACACTGTAATGGGCGGAACAAAGGCAAAATCAGAAGGTGCAAAACAGAACCCAAAACATGCCGAACAGAATTGGTTGACCTTTCTGACAATCATTTTGGCGTTGGTTACAGGCAGTCATTGCTTTCGACGGTGACACATCCATTGGTAAGGGTTTCAGTGTATACCACATGATTTCAACACTAAAAATGACGTAATCAATTCATCTTTCGAACTGCAAATTATTTTTTAAACAATGTAATAATGAATGAAATTTCTGTTCATATATGTTTGTTCAACAAAAATTGCAAATTAAAAAGAATAATCTAGTGTTGCGTTTCTAAAGTCGATCAGTATATGTAGAGTATTTTAAAGGGTAGAAAGAGATATGTAAAATTATTAATTCCGAAATTTCTAGTCTTGAACCCGACTCGAGGGGATTATATTTGAGATCAGACCATTGCGCACTGACATCAGTCAGTTCTATACGTTCATTATGACATACCAGAGAATACACATTGCATTGCTTTTTTAATAGTGATTAAGTTTTAAACGTTTAATTTGGAAATTACAAAATTCTAATCTTTCGTGGTTACATAAGCCTGTAATTCAGCCTTTGTCGTTTGTTGCTGTATAGCATATTTGTTTTTGGTTTATTGTTTTGTGAATAAATCGGACCGCTAGTTATTTCGTTTGAATTGTATATTTTCTTATGAATATGATCTGTGACATCGAATGCTCCGCAAACAATGATTAATGAAACAATTTATGCATAATAGAAGATTCTAACGATAACGATATTAAACCATTTATTACATTACTACAAGCTCCGCACACGGGGTCGACTTAAAAAGAGAAACACGAACATCTATCTTGTCCATGAGACTTCGATTAATATAAAAATAAAAAGACGTGGTATGATTGCCAATGAGACAACTCTCAACCATAGACCAAATGA